ACAAGCTTAAATTCTCCTAAGAATTTTCAGGGGAAAAATTTTGTATATAAATATATAGATATAGAAGAAAAAAAATGTTGGGAAAAAGAATCGCTTCTTTCAAGAATTTAGCCAAGAAAGTGAAGAGCATCAACACGACGACGACGAGAAACCGTGAAGGCAGCTCCGAGTCAACTCATAATGAGTCTCTTCTGATGAGTGAGGCGGATGAATCATATCCGGTGACGGCGACAAAGACTCCAACGGGGACTTTTGCGGTGTACGTAGGTGAAGAGCGCGTGAGGCGCGTGGTTCCAACAAGCTATTTGAATCATCCTTTGTTTAGGATGCTTCTCGACAAGTCACACGACGAGTTACACTGTTTCGAGCAGAAGGTTATGTTGGTCGTACCGTGCAGCCTTGCCGTGTTCCAAGACGTCGTTAACGCCGTTGAGTCTTGTAACGGGAACTTTGATTTTGGTGATTTTGTCGAGGAGTTTCTTTGAATATAATTCTGCCTTTTTCTTTCTTTATAACCATTTTCTTAGGTCTTTTTTTCTTTAAGGAAAAGTTATAATCGTAGGACTGATTTGTGAAATCTGTGATACATTTAATTTGATATAGGTTTGTAGTAAAACACCCCTTTGTTGCGTGGTGTGGATCTTTCTTTTTATTTCCGGTGGAATTTGTATTTTGTTTCCCCATATTTATGATGTATGTTGATTTGATCAATTCATAATAATTGTTTATAGGACTTATTTTGTAATATCATGATTCGAAAAGAAAAATACGGTGACAAAACAGTAGATAAATGGTGTGTTATATAATATATGCAAACAATATATAAAGTAACATGGTATTTGTTAAAAACACATGTAAATTACCAAAACTAACATATTCGCGATTTTTCAATCATAGAATTGGGCTAGATAGACCAATAGCATATTCACTTGCTTTTTCTGACACTTCACTTGTTAATAAACATATTTTTGTATTATTGTAAGTATATCTAATTCTTCGGTTTTTTTTCCCCCTAGCTCTTTTTGTCTTCCCTTTTTGGTAGTTTTATGCTTCAAGACATGTTTAGATGTTTGTGTGAAGACATGTTGGTGAGTTGAGTCAGAGCTTGTCACCGAACGCAAACATCGACTGCGAGTCTCTGTGACACTGAAAGGGTAATGAGAGAGAGCAATTACACAAGTTGGGTTTCCTTATTTTGCCCCTTTTTTGAATTTATACGCTAAAACAACGTGTTCTCTTTATAAATTGAACAATAACATTTTGTAGTGTCTTTTCTTCTTCTTCAAACTCGTATAAACGTCAAATCGAGATATAAATGAAAGCATATATTTTGGAGTTCTAACCAATTGATAGTTGATTAGTGATTCCTATTTTAGGAGAAATAGTGTCAAACTTTAAACCTATTAGAAAATCTGGTGAATGGGCTACTCGACAACTACAATCACTTTATGAAACGGTGTTTTACGTTTGTGTTTATTATTTACAAAATGATATTTGGAATTTAAAAGTATGATTATAATGCAAACACAAACGTTAAGCTTAGTTTTTAAACAATGAAAAAATAATTTTTCTATCATTGGAACTTTACCGTTGTTTGAATAAAATTGTTCATAACATCATGAAAAAATGTTATGGAATTAATGCAAACAATACATAAATTACAAGATGCATAGCGCACTATGATTTTTAACGTTGAATTCAGAACATACATAGATAGAACACTCTGTACTTGCATGCATGGATAAGATTAAATTTTTGTAGAGATGGCCACTCATGCATATGGAAGTTTAATAAAATTAATAAACCCCTAGTGTAGTGTCCAATCGCCACACTTCAGAAATTTTTTTCTTATCCTTAAAATAACTTACACAAACGTGAGAAAAAAATTGTAACCAGTCTAATGCATTGCTTAACCAACAAAGTTTCTTCTAATTCACCTCGCATTTCAACCAATCTTTATCGTTTTTTTTTGGTTTGGTGAAAATCTCTAGGATGAAATTTGAAATGTCCTAACGTATGAACTAATTAATTAACCATCAATTGGTTTTGAGTTGACTGTTCATGAAGTTTAATATATGTAATATCAAAACATAAAGTCCAATTAATTTGTTGACCCAAATAAAATGATCCAAACAAAATTTACATACGTACCTAGATGGTACATATGGGTTATCGCCAAGGATTTGGCATTGGTGCCAATGGCCAAGACATCAAAGAACCAAATACTTGGCGATAGCCAATTTGAATCAATAGCTTTGAGCCTATGGCCTTTGTGTGTTTCTCCCAAAAACCAAAATCTCCATCTGCAAGAAAAAATATTGTGTTTATAACAGCTGGACTCAGTGGGGGTAGAGGCTCGGGCACTGCCTCTGTCATTGCCCAATACGACAAACAAATGGGCATCTTCATCGTCGGGGTTGTGACCAAGCCATTTACGATGGTGAGTGAGAAAATAAAAACCCTGGCTAAAAAAGCGCAGTCTTCTCAAACCTCATCTCCACTCTCTCATCATCATGAACAATATTGCTCGTGTTCCCATCCTTTCTAAAGCTGTTTGTGGGATTGCCGATGCAATTACGGTATGTCAACTTCTTTGTATACTATATTATCATAAAATCATGTAAGTAACTAATTTCTCTCTTTTCTACTTTCTAGAATGCTGGATTAATGAAGCTTGATTTTGATGACCTGAAAAAGCTAGTAACAAAAGTGGGAATCTCATCAATGGGATAAGAAACGAGATCTGCTAATGAGCGGGTAACCAAGGCTGTGTACAAGCGAATGCTATGTTAGAAAAAGATTAGACTAGCTTTTTTAGACTTTTTTGGTTTATCACAGGTGAAAGTGACATATCATTTCGTGAGGCAATTCTCTATCTCTCTCTCAACTTATACAATATTAAGCCCGAGTATAGCATTGCTGGTTCTCATATTGTTTATATTGAATTAGGTATTTGAGGAACATGATATTATATGCCAGACTGATCCATTGTTGACTCTTCTTTACGGCGGTATTCAATC